ACATCGTAGCTTTCCGGGACAGCAGTGAGAAATCCTCTCTGTTCTCCAAGTGTGCCTCACCCTTTCCAATTTCCATCCATTTGTGGGGTTGTTTTCACTGCTCTGTGTTCTCCTTTCCTTGGCTAAGTCTTGCAGTTTTAGGGTGAGATCCGGTGTTCACTTGCCTTCTAAGCCTCCCTGAACACTCCCTGGGACGGCTGCTAGCTAGCTCTTTACCCTGAGCCAAGGGCCTTGGATAGGAAGGACGTCACCTGGTAGACTGTGAGTGCCTGAGTGTGTGAGCTTGAGATCCACCGTGCCAGGGCAGGAATCTGCACAAATCCCAGGTAGGAGAGGGGGCTTTGCCTTGGCCGCCATGTGACTTTGAAGGGAGTTCTCAGTGGGGCCTCTTTTCCAGTCTACTATTTTGCTGATAATCACCCTTCTTCAGAGCAAGGGGGTTTAAAGAGCTATTCTTCTTCACGTTGCTTTGGTATCAAGCAATTTCCACTGGGATGAACACCGGGTGCAGTGAGGTCACCCTTCCTCAGAGAAACCCCGCTGCCTACCCAGTGGTGAGAAACAGAGGGCCCTTCCAGACACCCCCGATCGCAGTTCACCCCCACTCCTGGCAGTGTAGCGATTCTGCAGCCTCCTCTGACGTCATCCATCCCTGCTGGCTCATGTGTCACGGTCTGCCCTTAAGTATGTGGTTCCAACCCCAGCTTGGAAGAGAGTGGAGGAAACGGGACTGGCCCTCGCCATGCCCTCCCTCCTTAGGAAGCCCCTGGTATTTCTGAACGGAATAGTCGCAGAGGGGATAAAGGGGGACGAGGCATTTAAGGGATGGCTCAGGACGTGGTTGGAAAATTGACCTCCTTGTGAATCTTGGCACAGTGGATTTTGAGTATTGTACTTTCAGATAAATTCCAGGAGGTGTCACAAGTCATGCTCCAAACTGTAAGGAGAGTCTCACCAGTTCCGTGCTCTATCCTTCATCTTCCTCCTCCCTCTTATTTCTCTTTTTATCTGCCTCCTATCTCCTTTCCCTCTTCTTCTGCTCTCCCCGAATTATGCCCCAGTCTAGAGGCGTGCTCAGCAGGAAAACACAAACTCTGGTGGGATGGATGTGTCTAAAGTCTGTGTGCCTAGCTGTTATTCTTGTGTTTATGAGCCTCTTACCAAAGCACTATATGATACGATGTTGACGTGTCATCTAGAAATACAAAGGCAGGCTTTGAGAAGGTCTCTCACTATCTCTTTAATGATAGCATTTGAAACGGTGAAGAAGCCCTGGTGCATGCATTACATCCACAGAGCACAGAGGCACTGCAAGTCGGTAGACGCCTTTAGTCTGATAACAATAGACAGTCAGACTTTTCACTGTAGCTCCTGGCTACAGCAGACCCAGCAGTTACCCGCCCAGTAGACACCCACACCTCTTACTCTTCCTTGCCTTAGGGATGCTGATTTTGTTCAGGGGAGCAACGAAACCAGGGAAAGGGGCTCCCTTCTGTAGCCCTAGGGGGTGCGCTGATAATAAAGGTAATATGATTTCTCTTTCTATTCTTTCCTCTATTTTTTAAATTTTTATTTCTCATTGAGACAGGGTCTCACCTTGTTACCCAAGCTGGAAAAGCGCAGTGACGTAATCTCCGCTCACTGCAGCCTTGACTTCTTGGGCTCAAGCGATCCTCCCACTTCAGCTTCCGGAGTAGCAGGGAATACAGGCATGAGCCGCCATAACCAAGCTAGTTTTTTAAAGATGTGGGCTGGTCTCAAACTCCTGGGCTCAACCCATCTGCCAGCCTTGGCCTCCCAAAGTGCTGAGGTTATAGGCGCCAGCCACCATGTCCAGCTATTTCTCTTTCTGATGATTTGTTTAGCTGTGGACTTTTGACCTGGTTATAGCCAATGGGACTCAATTGGAGAAGCTTCTGGAAAGTAATCTGTTCTTTAATGAGAGACGGTGACCTGAGCCTTCTCCTTACCTTGGATGTAGCTATTTATTTATTTGTTTATTTATTGAGACAAAGTCTCGCTCTGTCTCACTCAGGCTGGAGTGCAATGGCATGATCTCGGCTCACTGCAACCTCCACTTTCCGAGTTCAAGTGATTCTCCTGTCTCAGCCTCCCGAGTAGCTGGGGTTACAGGAATGTGCCACCACGCCCAGCTAATTTTCATATTTTTAGTAGAGATGGGTTTCACCATGTTGGCCAGTGTGGCCTCGAACTCCTGACCTGGTGATCCACCTGCCTTGGCCTCCCAGAGTGCTGGGACTACAGGTGTGAGCCACTGTGTCTTGTTTAAAGAAAGATGGCTGGTGCTGAGGGTGACACCTCAGAAACACCAGGAAACAAGCCATTCGCCCTGACAATGCGTGTACAACAGAGAATGAGCTTAAGTCTCTATGACACTGGTAATTCACCGCAGCAATCCCGGAAGCAGCGAATTGTGGGTGTCTTACCCTGTGAGCTATGTAAGCATCCTGAATGCTCAAGCTAAGGCCAGCGAAGGATTTTCCTGATCGCTGCGGCTGAATGTACCTCCCCTGCCTCTGTGGTCTGGTCCTCAGCATCTGCTACAACACTCGTGGAATGGGGACATGGTCTATCAAGAATCACTGTGATGTAACACTGCCTTTTGATCAGTTGTAAATTGTTCTTATTGTTTTTATTTTATTTCATTTCATTTTTTGAGACAGAGTTTCACTCTTGTCCCCCAGGCTGGAGTGCAGTGGTGCGATCACGGCTCACTGCAACCTCTGCCTCTTGGATTCAAGCTTCTCCTGCCTCAGCCTCCCGAGTAGCTGGGATTACAGGTGTCCACCACGGCAGCTGGCCTAAAACTGTTCTTACTGTTATTTTAATAGTTTTCCCTTCATGCCTGTAATCTCAGCACTTTGGGAGGCCGAGGTGGGCGGATCACGAGGTCAGGAGTTCGAGACCAGCCTGACCAACATGGTGAAACTCCGGCTCTACTAAAAATACAAAATTAGCTGGGCATGGTGGTGTGCACCTGTAATCCCAGCTACTCAGGAGGCTGAGGCGGGAGAATCACTTGAACCTGGGAGGAGAAGGTTACAGTGAGCCGAGATCAGGTCACTGTACTCCAGCCTGGGTGACAGAGAGAGATTCTGTCTCCAAAAAATAAAAAAAGTTTCCCTCAGTAGAATACAGAGCCCTCAATCAAACAGCAAGAAAATCTGCCCAGGGCTTTACAGAGGCTTTCATTTATTATCACCGAAAACAAATAATACATGCTTGTTGCAAACATTCACATCATACAAAAATGAATAAATAAACTTGGAAGCAAATGTAGCTATAATTGCCTTCTAGATCTTTTTCTCTAGTTATTCAGAGTAACCTGGGATCACATGTAATATAATAAAAACGAAGCTCTACTGAGGATTGCCAAGTGCTATGTATGCTCTGTTCCAACGACCTCACATGTATTAGTTAACCTAACTCTTACAAGGTACCGTTCAGATAAGCACGGTCCAGGAAGCTGAAGAGCAGAGAGAAGTCTTGGTATTGTTTAGTGGCAAAGACAGACTGTGAGCCCACACAGCTCAGACCCTCAGGCCACCAGACTCCAATGCCCCCCTGTGGTGCTTAGTAAATATGTGTCGAATCAACAAATGTTTCTCATTGTTCAGAAGTTTGACAGTTTCATAATCAAAATTGACGGTATTTTTCTTTGTAGTTTCTGGCCCCGGTGCCACGCTAAGTGAGGCGATTAAACTTCTCAAACAGATTAACTGCTCAGGTTATTTAACTTTCAAGTTTCCAAAACACATTTCTTCATAGCAACCTGGTCATAATTTCCTAATACTTTCTCCATGATGCAGCCAAGTGTTACTGTACACATCAGAAAGACAATTCATGAAATGGTTAATCAATATAAGCAGAATGATTTTATCGCATGAAGCAGGACTCTGACATGTCCAATAGTCTGTATAAAACCATTAGAAAGAAAGATTGACTGTCTCTCACTTCCTGATCCTGCTGGAGTCACACTCCATCACCTGAGGCTCAGGTTCTGAGGATGACATGCTGCTGGTAATTAACAGAGAAGCCTGGCAGCATGGATGAGAGACTGTTGATGGATGAACAGTGGGAACAAAAGACTGGACACCTTGCTAAGAACGGCTTACCATGTTTGCAGGTATAGGTCATTTTCAAAGGAAGGCCCTCCAAACAAAGGGATCCACCATTCATTCAGCATGCCTTCTTCCCGAGGCTGGCTGGGGAGAATGCCACATCCAGGACCCAAACCAGCGATGACACCTCTTCCCTGGCACCACCGTCTTCCTTTTTATGATTCTTGTCATTCTCCCTATAAATTTAAAACTGTTATGATTACCATTTTAGCTTGTAGCCGCTTTTTAGAGTGAATTTATCCACTAAAGACTTTCATAGAGCTACAAGCCAGATACTATGATCTTGAAGTACCTCCAAGTTAATACCCCAACCATGGTATTTCCTAATGGACTGCCATAACGAAGTACCAGGAGCTGGGTAGATTAAAACAACAATTTTTTTTTCTCACAGTTCTGGGATCAGGAAGTCCTAACTGAGGTGTTTGGGGGACCTGTAGGGGAGGAGTCACCCCTGCCTCTTCCTAGCATCTGGTAGTGGCCGTCAGCCTGCAGCACCCTTCGGCTCGTGGCTGCTTCACTGCAGTCTCTGCCTCTGTCATCCCATGCTGCTCCCCCTGTGTGTCTGTGCTCACATCTCCCTCTTCTTAAAGAGTACACACCGGGCACGGTGGCTCACCCCTGTAATCCCAGCACATTGGGAGGCTGAGGTGGGTGGATCACCTCAGGTCCAGTAGTTCGAGACCAGCCTGACCAACATGGAGACACCCTGTCTCTACTAAAAATACAAAATTAGCTGCGAGTGGTGGTGCTCGCCTGCAATCCCAGCTACTTGGGAGGCTGAGGCAGGAGAATTGCTTGAACCCAGGAGGTGGAGGTTGCAGTGAGCTGAGATCGTGCTTCCAGCCTGGGCACCAAGAATGAAATTCCATCTCAAAAAAAAAAAAAAAAAAAAAAAGAGTACACCCATCCTACTGGACAAGGGTTTATCCTAGTGACCTCAGCCTACCTTGATTCCATCTGGAAAAACCCTATTTCCAAATAAGGACACATTCACATGAACTGGGGGTAGGACCTCAACATATCTTTAAGGGGATGCAACTCAAATGTACCCACAGCTAGGACACAAGCAAACACACCTTACAGACAGAATGCCTTCAAGGCCGGGATCCGGAAGGGTCTACAGCTGTTCTCTAGCTTCATTAACAGCATCTATCTGTATACTTAAGAAAAAGTACATTCCCTTCCCACAGAAGGGAAGCAGTAAGGGAAACATGGGAAGTTCTAAAATCAGAGAGCCCAAGACAGCTGCATGAATGTGCCCCTGTTCAGGAAGGGTTGCTCCTGAAGGGGAAGGGTGCTTGGCTCCAATGGCTAATGTCCCCTGTATGTGAAGCATGTGACGCCTTCCCCCTGCTTTGATTCCACACTCACTTAGCAATCATTGGAATTAATTTGGTCCTAACAGGAATTCCTCTTACAGGGAAAGAGAAGATGATGCAACATTATATCAGTGCTTTATGAGTCAGGTTAATGGGGCTCCACACTGAGAGAGGCTGGTCAGCTGTGAAGGTGCTGGGCCGTCAGATTTGAGTCTGAAAGATCAGGAATCTGGAGTTCTGGCAGCAAAGTGCTACCCTCCAAGGATGCAGGTGAGCTGAATCAGGCTTTGCGCCACAATGGCCCTGCCTTGCTGTTACTGCAAGTTACATATGTTGAGATTCAATCAAGTGACTAGCAGCATACTCACTGAAAGCAAATACTCTAGCAATGATGGCTATTTGCATTGAAAGTGACCGGATATATTAAGGGTTTAATTACCCCATGAATCAGAATAAGATCTTTATAAAATAAACAACAACAAAAAAACTGAAGGAGTGCTGTATGAAAACAGGCCAGCGTTGGGACGACCGTCCAGACTTCGGAGGCTACCTGGTGAGTTGCTGCAGAAGAGGAACATGAGAGCACGAGAAACGTTCACGGTTCAAGACCAGCCTGTTCCTGGTCTTTGCGTTGTGACGGAGTTGGCACTGCTTCCCTGGCTTGCCCCCAGCCCTCTGCCTCTTATCATGGCTGCTCTCGGAGGTGTCTGTTCTCAATTTCCTCCTTCTCTCATTTTGATTCTTCACTGCATGCTGGTGCTTCACACGCTGACTACTGTGTGCTCCTGTCTCTCTGAACATCCAAGGCCCTCTAAAATCTGACCCTAGGCAGCCATGTCTCTTCATCCCGTAGGCACACAAATGCTCTGCTGTCCCCAAGCGAATGTTGACTATGAAGGGTACCATCACCTGTGCTTGTTTTCTAGGGCACTCATCGGACACTCAGCATATGACATGGATTATTCCAGGCTCTGGGAAGAGAATAGCTCTTCCTTTGCATGCCTGTGCTTAATGCAGTCTTGAGGCAGACGAGTGCTCAGTGTATGTTTGTTGGTGGCCGTTAGATGCAAAAAAAGGAATCACGACAGGATATCATAAGCAGAAGACTGGCTAACTGGCTCCAAATAATGCAAAACTTAGCATTACTGTGTAAGTTTACGGTAGCTCGACTCCAGTTTGATAACTTACAAAAGTTTCAAGTACAGACACATGAATGTCAGTTTACTCACTACCAGACTTAATTCATCTCTTTTCTCTACCCCAGATCAGGAAATGTAACTCCTGGGATCAAAGCAGAAACCTTTCCCTGAATATTAATGGACAAACTCTGTCGATCTCTCATTATTATTTTTTTGACACAGTGTCTCACACTATCACCCAGGCTGGAATGCAGTGGTGCCATCAATGGCTTATCTAAGGCACAAGCCATCACCTCAACCTGGGACTACAGGTATGTGCCACCATGCCCGGCTAATTTTTTTTTATTTTTTTATTTTTGTAGAGATGGGATCTCCCTATGTTGTTGCCCAGGCTAGCCTGGAACTCCTAGGCTCAAGCGATCCTCCCAACTCCGCCTCACAACGTGCTGGGGTTACGGGCAGGAGCCACTGCGCCTGGCTGCAGTATCTTATTTTTTATTTATTTATTTTTTAATTGCATTTTAGGTTTTGGGGTACATGTGAAGAACATGCAAGATTGTTGCGTAGGTACACACATGGCAGTGTGATTTGCTGCCTTCCTCCCCTTCACCTATACCTGGCATTTCTCCCCATGCTATCTTGAACCTGGAAACCATCATTCTCAGCAAACTGACACAAGAGCAGAAAGTATCTTATTTTCTAACCTTGCTCCACACTGACCCCACACCCCTGCAGATGCTCACTCACACGCTCTACGTTTCACGTATATTTTTCAGATTAAGCAAAATACAATGTATTATTCCAGTTGGTAAAAAAGTTTCCCTTTCATACCTGTCTTTGAATTTGCAGTCATTCCGATTATATTTTGAGTTCTCAAACATTTGCGTTACATAGTCTCTTGGTTCACTCGGACAGGTGTTTCAACAGGCGTGTGTGGGTCTCACCAGCTCAGCTCTCAGAGCCGGTCCTGTCTGCAGGTTCGCGCCTGGCGCACCTCGCTGTGGGTCCACCCCACCCTTAGTGAGCCGCCCTGACCAGGACCCTGGGGTAGGGGGTGGGGGGGCGCTGCTGTTTCTAGCTCTTTCGCCCAAACACACCTTCCCACCCGCCTTCCCTATCATCAGACAGGTGCCCTGACCCCGGCACGCGCAGGCTTGTCGGGCTGGTCCGTTCCAGACCGTTTCGGAGCCAGGATTCGCCTTCCCGGCCCGGGGCCTGAGCTCGGCGGGTGGGATCTGCGAGGCTCCCCGCGCGGGGGAAATGGGCGAGGGCTCCTTTAAGGCGGAGGCGGGCGGGGAGCGCGGCAACCCCGCGGGCACAGCCAGAGCCGCCCCGGGGCCCAGTTAGCCGGGGGCGCGGCCGGGCGCGCAGAACCGGGCGAGGCTGCTCCCTGCGGCCGGGGGTGTGGGGCGACCCAGCGGCGCGGAGCGGAGCGGGCGCGGTGCCTCGGGGCGGAGAGGGTTAGGGTGCGGGGACCCCGGGCTCCTCGGCCCCGCCCGCCGCCTCGGCCGGATCCCGCGCTGGGCGCTCTCGCGCGGCGCGTCCACGGTGGAGGCGTGGGGGCCGCGGGGCCGGACCTCGGGCCTCTCTCGGCCAAACTCTTCAGGACTCGCCGGCGGCCCCCGCGGGCCCCTCCTCCGGCCGCTCGGGAGCTGCTGGCGCCGCAGGCTGCGGGTCTCCGGGGCTGGCACCCCGCTGGGCGCCGCCGCCACCCCGGCCCCGCTCCGCGCCCTGGCTCCGGACCCCAACTCCTACCCCGGGGGCTCCGCCGCAGGAGCAGTGCGGACCCCGCCTCGTGGCCCAGCAGCCCGGGAGCGGCCGAAGCCCGGCCCCAGCTCCCTACGCCGCTGGCTCCCGGCCCGCCTGGTGGTCCCCGCGCGGCCGCCCACGGAACCCGCGCCCGCCTGGCCCGGGGGAGCGAGAGCCGGACGCCTGCGTGCCCCCCGGGGCTGGCCCCGGAACGCTGCTGCCCACCCTGCCCGACGTCGGCGAGGACGCGCCCTCGGGTGGCGACTCCGCGGGTGGCGAAGCGTGAGTAGCCGCGGGGTCCGGGCGCGCGCTCCTTTTCCTGCCACCCCGACCCCTCCGCCTGCCGCCCTCACCTTCGCAGGTGCGTTTTAGGAGGTAAAACACCGGCAGTAACTTCCACCAACCCCTGGGCACCCTCCTTGCCCTTTTCCTGGGTCAGCCCTTGGCTTTGCGGGCCTCCAGGTACAAGCAGGGACCTGCTTTGCGCGCTTTCTGAGTGAATCATAAGGGGGCGGAAGGAAAAGACAACGTTGTTTCCCTTCTGCCAGCATTGCTACTTAGAGCGTTTGTTAGTTTGGTTTTCTTAAGGACTTTTGGAAGTTCCTTTCTTTGTCTCAGAATGTAGCAGGCATGCAGGGAAACCGAACACACACCTCTGCAGCAACTATTTTAAGAAATGGTGAGACCTTGTGCTTTCTAATTTCCAAGGAGCAGCCCTTAGTCTTACCAGGTGGGATGGGTCTCCTTTGTGTGACATCTGGTTAGTTTACGTATGCGTAACATCATCTGACACGAATGGAATTGTAATGCCCAGGACACGTCTGATTATTTCCCTAGAGCTCCTGAGAGCCGCCGCAGTGACCTGAGTTACTACAGAAACGTGACTTCATGGGAACATTTTCACTGGGAATTGGAGGCCACTTCCCTCAACAACCCCCCCACCCCACACGCACACCCCTTTCACTTCCGATAGTAGTGATAAAAACATTGCTCTTTCAAAACGTGTTTTAGAACTAAGACGAATTTTAATTTTTGATGAACAGAGCATATTGTTAGCTATTCTTCAGTGGGTAGATTTTCATCCTGAATGCTGTAAAGGAATAGTGAAATGGTCAAACACAGGGGCGCCCATTCACAGACCGAGGTTTCTACATTGTCATCTAGTGAGACCATTCCCTACCCCCCCTAAAAAATCCTGACTGATTTTTGAATTCATACTGATCCTGACTCATTCACAATTTAAATAATTACAATTTCACAAAATTGCGCGATATTCATGTCAACATGAAAATAAGCAGTTAAACAAAAAGTTGTTCCCACTCATTAACAAATACTATATATATAATGAAATATGTTTATCAACTGTTATTTTTCCCTAAGGAAGATTAATTGCTTTTGGAAAACTGACTGGAATACGTATGCCTGAGGAATTAGACCTTTGTTCTTGGCAACTGGTCCTTAACATTTATGCAATTAATGTTTTATGAGCAAACAGAACTACACACTGACCTTAAACTCTAGTCTTAGTGCTTTTAACAAAAAGACACTGAAATATGCAGCATGGCCAGTGAAAGAATTGGTGTTAGTTTCAGTTCTTGAACATCTTAGCTCATGTTTATATTGTGCAAAAATTTGCAAAAGACACTTTTTCAATAACACTGCATTTGGCATTATTTACAGAAGAGATTATCCTGAATTAACAGATGCATTCAATTTTATAGACAGTGAAGAAATTGAAATTTTAAAATTACTATGATTATTTTTTGAGATGAGGTCTCCCTCTGTCACCCAGGCTGGAGTGCAGTGGTGTGATCACTGTTCACTGCAGCCTCAACCTCACAGGCTCGAGCATTCTGATTCTCTCGTCTCAGACTCTCGAGGATCTGAGACTACAGGTGTGAGCTACCATGCCTGGCCAATTAAATTGTGTGTGTGTGTGTGTGCAGGGACGGAGTCTCCCTGTGTTGCCCAGGCTGGTCTTGAACTCCCGGCCTCAAGCAGTCTTCCCACCAAGGCTTTGCTGGGATTACAGGCATGAGCCACTGCATCTGGTCATGAAATTGGATTTTAGATAAGTGCCATGGGAAGTAATATACACAGCTAGGTGCTTTGCAGAATCTTCCTGAGCCTGTGTGCTCCTGCTGTCTGCAGCAGGTAAAGGCACACAGAGGCAGGAAGCAGACTGGCCCTCTGGGCCTGCCATTTTTCCTTTCCTTTCAGACCTGTGACTACTCACGTTCCCTCCTCTCATCATACCCAATCCTTTTTCAATCACTAAAACATAAAAAGAGGTGAAGGGGAAGGAAGAAAGGATTAAGGTGACTTTTCCTTCGATACTGCAGACTTTGCACCTCGAAGGATTTTTCTCCTCTCCTGGATTTCTGCAGTGGTGATTTATAACACAGAATAAACAAACATAAGACAATGAATTTAAATTTGCGCCTACCATGTCATCTGTCACTTGGCAAAGCTGCTGCTGTTAGCCTGTGTGGTTAATATTAAAATCAGGAATTTAAATTTCAAGTCTAGGAACATGGAGAAATGGGTAATGTCGAGGAAAAAAGAGTGATGAGACAGAATGTGAATACGTATAAAGGAAACGTAAACCTATTCACAAGAAATGTAGATCAATTTTAAGGCTGTGGCACAGAGTTACAAAGGAAAACCCTATTAACAGTTTATACTTTTTTGATAACTCATATGCTTTACATTTGCCTGATTCTTTACTTGGCTTTTTTTAAAAAAAAAAATCCTAAAACTAAAATTAGTGAAATTAACTTGAGTAGGAAAATATGCAAAATATCCTGCCCTTTAGAGGGTTTTTTTGTAAACAAAGATGCTGAATAGCAGCAGGGTTTTTGATCTCTGACCCAGGAATTCTTTTGCTCCTCAGGGCATGCTGGCTGCACATCTGAGCCAGATGCAGGGGATACAGCGCTCTCTTTCTTCACCTCACTTCCTGCATCCCTAGCTGTGTGATCGGCGCCTTTGACCTTCACCTGGGCTTCCCTGTGCATTTCATGCCTGTGTTACGCCTCAATGTTTTCCAGTCTCACTCATCCCTCTTCACCACCTCTTTGCACACGTCCGGTTTGAGACACACACTACACCTTGAGACGGTCTTACTCTCTTACTTGTTCTGCAGATTTAAGAATTCCTAGCAGTATGTAAGGTGCGTAGATAGATAATTGCTGTGTATGAATGTTGGTAGGTTGTAAACTCCTCCAGTCGGGAAGTATTTATTGCTCGTATAGTCGTAGTTATTAGTATACACTCCTCTTTTTATTTTTGAGGGATGGAGTTCCAATGTTGAAATCACGTTAGTGTGGAAACATGGCAGTGGCTGCTGGAAGGGCTTGTCAGCGTGGCTGGCAGTGAAGTGATTGGAGGGACTCCTCTTGATTCCTGTGACATTGAGGCAGCCTCCAGGGTGGGGAAGCCTGCAGACCTGGAAGTCAGAGGAGGTGGATTTCATCTCAAACCTTTTGCTAGCGGAGCCGTTCTGGGCAGGTTATTCATTTTTCCCTAGCTGTAGTTTTTCTTTCTTAATAATATGGAGGTGAAAATAATACTTTCCGTGTAGAGGTGCTCTAGAAATTAATGAAAATAATGTATTAGGTAACACAGAGAAATGCTTTTAAAAAAAAGAGTGTGTTATCTGCGGGGCCTGGTGGCTCATGCCTATAATTCTAGCACTTTGGGAGGCGGACAGATCACCTGAGGTCGGCAGTTCTCGACCAGCCTGACCAGCAAGGAGAAACCCCGTCTCTACTAAAAACGTGAAAAGTAGCTGGCGTGGTGGCACGTGCCTGTAGTCCCAGCTACTCGGGACGCTGAGGCAGGAGAATCGCTTGAACCCAGGGGGCAGAGGTTGCAGTGAGCCGAGATCGCACCACTGTACTTCAGCCTGGGCGACAAGAGCAAAAACTCCATCTCTAAGTGTTAGGTATGGTTACTTCCTGCCTCTTGGCACAGAAATGAAAATTGAGAGCCGTGTTTTATCTAAAGAAACCTTGAAGAAAAGACTGAGAGAGAAAAATGATCCATTATAGTTACCATGTGACTGTAATAAACGGCGTCTTTTAGTTCAGTTATTTGGGAGAACAAATTATGGTACATGCCAATCTTTAATCATTGCTGTCCCTGCCTGACTTACAGAAAATAAGGGTTAGTTTAGTTAACACTACCATTGAGTGCTGTATAGCACCTAGAAGGAAGTGTATTTACCACTCTGGGATCAAGCTTTTAATCTGCAGAATAATCAGTAGTATCACAAATCGTACATTTGTGTAGCCCGTGCCTATTCCTCCACTGAAATCCTTTGATTTAGATTCATGTCTTATGTCCATTATCAGACCATAAACTCTTTGTCCTGTGGTATGTAAGGAAACACATACCCATAAAGGACATTTAGCAAATATTTATTGAATGGACGAAGAAAATATTTTCTTCTTCATGTAATCCACTGTCTTGGGTTTCTAATCTTACAACAATCTTGGGGCAATTTAAATGTCTTTCTTTAAGAATAATTGTTGTCTTGGGTCTTTTTGTTTGATTGTCTTGAATTTTTTCCAAAGTTAATCATGCGTTCTGCTGGGACTTAAGCATTCTCCCAGGGATGAAAGGTGAGCTCAGTGTACAGTTGTCAGATGACCGTTACTTTCTATTGCAGTCATATGACCATTACTTTCATTAAAAACAAAAATGAATTCAACTTGATTTTCCATGTCGAGTATTTGCCTAAACCCGAGAAAACAATTTTGTTCTCACTGTCTTGTGCAGTAAACTTTTGCTTTAAATTATCCTGTTTCTTTGTTGTTAGATTTAAGTCTTGAAAATTGTATTTATCAGTTATACGTTCTTTTGCGGTGTGTTTAAAGAACACATTTTGAATGATTTTTAATTTCTTATCCAACAAGCATGGCCCTTGACATGTGCCAAGCTCATAACGACAGCCCTATGGGATTTGAACCCTTCAGCATTGCGTAATCACAACAGGTCCTGTAAATTTGTATAGTTTTTAGAGCACAGATTGAAGTCAGACTGAATTTGATTCAATTCCCATTTTATAATTTTTCTTAGAATGCTAACTAAGCATTCACATCGGCTACCGTATTTAACCTCTTTAAACCTCACCTTGTCATCCATAAAATGGGAATTAATAATAATGCCTATTCAAAGAGACATTGTTAGGATTAAAAGAGATCATATATACAAACTTGTCTCTGTGGTGGCTGGTATGTAAGCATCAATAAATATCTGTTACTATTACCTGATATACA